ATATATATAGTTACTTTAAAATGTACAAAATCTAGTGCTCTATTAATTTCTTGCAGATTATTAACAGGACAAGACAAACATGGGGTGTGGGTCTTCTAAAAGTACAAATATAATTAAGTCTGAACAGTCAACAAGTGTGAACGAAGATGATAAAAACCAGAAAAAAGCATTTGAAAGCCATAAGAATGTTCAACCATCACAAACACAAACATATGAACTGAATAATACGTTTGAGAACGCCTCAAAGACTGGCAATAGAAAGACCAATAGTGATGGAATTAAGGACACAAACAAACTTGTTCCTTACAATGAGGCGTGCAAAGCTTTTCCAAGACCAGCACCACCTCCAGTTGATGCAAAGGTTGATCTGGACGAGTTCTTTTCGTCAGAACTAAAAGCCATCTACCCTGGATTCGATGCTATGACACGTCTTGATGATCATGTTGAAAAGGTATTTTGAAACCAACCAAGTATTATGAAATCGATATATAGCCATTTAGAACACTATAGGACAAAGCATTATAAATATTTGCAGCAGTACACATATGTATACAGTACAGCGCTATCTATTATATCCCCTTGTCATAGAGATATTTAAGGGTAGGATGGTGACTTGCTTTTCTTTCTTTTAGAGAGTGTGAAGGAACTCTGTAATCACAATAAGTTCAATCGACAAATGACTGTGGGTCCATGGTTTTCCAACATGATAGGAGGGGGAGATCAGAGAGTTAATTTCCCTCATCTTCGATCCTCACTGGCGTCACCACTGCCTTACTGATACTATCAATTCAATCGTATTATATGTTATATATATTTTCAAAATTTACAGACGCCAAAATCACTGAAGCAAAACATTCAAAGTCTAGTGGAATATCTGATGGAAATCACTTCAACGGAGTACGATAAGGCACGCGTTATTATACGTTGGGTTGCGACTAACATCGCGTATGACCTAAACTTCCTGATTACTGGCAACCACCAAGGTTCTTCAGCTGCGCAAGACGTGTTGGTAGAGGGCTCTGCTGTCTGCGAGGGATTCTCCAACTTGGTGTTGGAAATGTGCCAGTAAGTACAACAGGGTGGCAAAAAGAACGATGAATGAGTCAATTAAGTAAAACTATAATCACGAAGCTACAAACACTAAAACGACCAGAGGCCCACTAATGCGCTACAATACGGTATCTCATGAGATTATTTTACATTCCAATTTACAAAGTTATTTTGAAGCTCATGCAACAGCCATAATAGAGACCGATGATCTGTATTTGAGGTAATAACTTGAATACACTATTACAATCAAGTAGACCTCTAATGTCATCACGAATTATTAGTACCACTTTTTGATGATTAATCCATAGGCTTGCCGGCTTAACCTGTGAAAAAATCAACGGTATAGCCAAGGGATCTGGTTATGAGATTGGTGATGATCTCGTCAACGGAAAAAAATCGAATAAGTTCAGACACGCCTGGAACCGGATCAAGATATCAAACACATGGTTTCTATGTGATGCCACCTGGGCATCTGGATACCCAAGTATGTAGGCCCATTTCAGTACATTAAAACATTGTATTTTACAAACACCACTACCATTCTAGTACCACCACTATCACTACCAGTCTACCACAACCGCTGCTGCTGCTGACGCCGCCGCTGCATCGTACTACTACTACTACTACTACTACTACTACTACTACTACTCAAAAACCACTGCATCCTCTTACAGATAGGCATGAAATTTTTTCATTCTTCATATCATTGAATTGGTTTTTTTTTTGTATTAAAGAGAGAGTGAATGGAAACTACCAACACATATTCCACTGGAATGAGGGTTACTTCTTAGTTCCGCCAGAAACGATGCGTTACTCTCACAAACCATACGACAGTACCTTCACAATGCTTGAACAGTCGATAACTGACCTAAATCAATGGACAAACGAGGCACGTGTGTTTCCTTCATGCTGTTTGTATAAGGTACATTACTAATTGAGAATATACTTACCATTATTCTTCTTTTCATAGATAAATACCGCAGGCCTAGGCCTAAGCTTGATGCAACTAAAAGCCTCATTTACGTAATTTTAGTCAAGAGAACAGGTTTTGTGTGTGTTTCGTAAAACATTTTGTGTTATTACCCGGGTGGCCACTCTGCAGTGCGACCACAACGGGTCCAAAGCGATAATCTGTTTATTTCAACAACATCTTACTGTATGATATATTCAAATATATAACTCTACATTACGAATACAGTAAGAATAATGTCTTACTGTAAATTGTAAGGCCACCAATTGTCACATTATAATGTACTACGATAAAGTAAGAAAAAACATAGGTCAATGAAGGCTATATGGTTGCTAAACGAACAGACATGTACATTTTTTAAAATTTGTGTTACTCCCCGACGGAATGTACTCGCCTTCTCCGACGGGGGGGCTGAGCTATAGCCCCTCCCCCAGCCCCCCTGGCGCCACCACTGATGAATTTTATTACCGGGAATTATCTTAAAGGCCGGACTTAATTAACCTTCATATTTGTGGAGAAGTAACTAGAAATAACCACAATAAATATGACTACAACCTAGGCTGGTGAATGATGATAGTGTGATTGATTTTTTTTTGTATCCCAACATGAGACAAATTGAGAACCCACACTGTATGTTTAAACCTTCCAATGAATACTTGTGTTGTCTTACAGATGTCAAGTGTTACACCACCTCTCACTGATGGGTGCATTAAAACGGATTCGAATAGAGTGGAACTCCAATTTCGCAGTATTTTTAACATGAACTTAAGATATACCTTGATAGATGACGCAACAGATGAAAACGTAGAGAATTCAGTAGCATCTTTTACAAACAAGAAGTTAACAACGCTGTTTGTACGTCTTCCGCGAGCTGGGTTGTATAGTGTTGTGTTATTTGGTGAGCCCGTTCACTTGTCTGATTGTTCAAAGGAAATGAGCCAGGATATGTTATTGAGCTTTAAGGTACACACGACATGCGTCAATGGTTCGCAGAAATTTCCAGACTTCACTCATCTCTTAGGATCACTTCCCGCTTTTACAGATGGTGGGTTTAGATCCTCTGTTAACTTCCCTATCATTGAAACAGAAGATGGGTATGCCAGGTTTACAGTTAACAGACCAGGAGGAGAGCCAATAAGATTCAAATTTAGATACGCAAATGGAACTGAACTTGATGAGTACATATTTGGAGATACCTATCCAGAAAAAGTCGTCTTTAATATTAGATGTCCGAAGAAGGGGGAATATTCGTTGACACTTTTTGCCAGATTTAACGATGATCTTGTTGATAACACTAAATTTAAGCCAGGTGCAACATATCTGATACTGAACAAGAATGAGCGAGTAACGCCCATACTACCATACCCCTCTAAAGTACAATGGGGACCAACTGACAACTTGTCAAATTTCAACATATCGTTACAGCCCCAAAAAGGCGCTGAAATAACGTGCAATAAAGAAGAGGCCACTTTCGAACTAGGCCTAAGTTCCAATGAACAGATCAATATTTCTTACAAATTTAATACCAAGGAAGATAAAGCAATAACAAGTAGGTGGGTTTGTGCCGAAAACAACTGGCGTGAAAAAGATGTGATTTTGCGATTTCGATTTCGTGCACCCGTTTCTGGATTTTACGAATTTAATATATTTGCGGGAAAAGTTGGTGCAAAATCTAATGATTGTATAGGAAGTTGGTTAATTAACGTTGTTAATCCGTATGAGGGAGACTTGTTCATTGGCAGTACAAACGTACCATGGGGACCTAACGTTGCCAAAATGAAGGCAAATGATTTACAAGTTCTATCACCAACATCTTCTACAATTTACTCAAGTGAAGAAGAGTCCACGTTGATTATCGCATCGAAAATAAAAAGGCGTACAGGAATTATTTTCAATCTGAAAAATGATTCAGGTAATGATATGTACGAATACGTTTTAGCAGATTCTGTTAAACAAAATGACGAAACGGCTGTCTCTTATACACATCTAGATGTGTATAAGAGACAGCTACAATACGGTATCTCATGAGATTATTTTACATTCCGATTTACAAAGTTATTTTGAAGCTCATTCAACAGCCATAATAGAGACCGATGATCTATATTTGAGGTAATAACTTGAATACACTATTACAATCAAGTAGACCTCTAATGTCATCACGAATTATTAGTACCACTTTTTGATGATTAATCCATAGGCTTGCCGGCTTAACCTGTGAAAAAATCAACGGTATAGCCAAGGGATCTGGTTATGAGATTGGTGATGATCTCGTCAACGGAAAAAAATCGAATAAGTTCAGACACGCCTGGAACCGGATCAAGATATCAAACACATGGTTTCTATGTGATGCCACCTGGGCATCTGGATACCCAAGTATGTAGGCCCATTTCAGTACATTAAAACATTGTATTTTACAAACACCACTACCATTCTAGTACCACCACTATCACTACCAGTCTACCACAACCGCTGCTGCTGCTGACGCCGCCGCTGCATCGTACTACTACTACTACTACTACTACTACTACTACTACTACTCTAAAACCACTGCATCCTCTTACAGATAGGCATGAAATTTTGTCATTCTTCATATCATTGAATTGTTTTTTTTTGTATTAAAGAGAGAGTGAATGGAAACTACCAACACATATTCCACTGGAATGAGGGTTACTTCTTAGTTCCGCCAGAAACGATGCGTTACTCTCACAAACCATACGACAGTACCTTCACAATGCTTGAACAGTCGATAACTGACCTAAATCAATGGACAAACGAGGCACGTGTGTTTCCTTCATGCTGTTTGTATAAGGTACATTACTAATTGAGAATATACTTACCATTATTCTTCTTTTCATAGATAAATACCGCAGGCCTAGGCCTAAGCTTGATGCAACTAAAAGCCTCATTTACGTAATTTTAGTCAAGAGAACAGGTTTTGTGTGTGTTTCGTAAGACATTTTGTGTTATGACCCGAGTGGCCACTCTGCAGTGCGACCACAACGGGTCCAAAGCGATAATCTGTTTATTTCAACAACATCTTACTGTATGATGTATTCAAATATATAACTCTACATGAATTTCAGTGAAGACGCCAAGTTCTGCCCGACAGGTCCATGTGATCGTGAATTAATAACAACAAAATTACGAATACAGTAAGAATAATGTCTTACTGTAAATTGTAAGGCCACCAATTTGTCACATTATACTGTACTACGATAAATTAAGAAAAAACATAGGTCAATGAAGGCTATATGGTTGCTAAACGAACAGACATGTAAATTTTTTAAAATTTTTGTTATTCCCCGACGGAATGTACTCGCCTTCCCCGATGGGGGGGGGGGGGACGGGGGGGCTGAGCTATAGCCCCTCCCCCAGCCCCCCTGGCGCCACCACTGATGAATTTTATTACCGGGAATTATTTTAAAGGCCGGACTTAATTAACCTTCATATTTGTGGAGAAGTAACTAGAAATAACCACAATAAATATGACTACAACCTAGGCTGGTGAATGATGATAGTGTGATTGATTTTTTTTGTATCCCAACATGAGACAAATTGAGAACCCACACTGTATGTTTAAACCTTCCAATGAATACTTGTGTTGTCTTACAGATGTCAAGTGTTACACCACCTCTCACTAATGGGTGCATTAAAACGGATTCGAATAGAGTGGAACTCCAATTTCGCAGTACTTTTAACATGAACTTAAGATATACCTTGATAGATGACGCAACAGATGAAAACGTAGAGAATTCAGTAGCATCTTTTACAAACAAGAAGTTAACAACGCTGTTTGTACGTCTTCCGCTAGCTGGGTTGTATAGTGTTGTGTTATTTGGTGAGCCCGTTCACTTGTCTGATTGTTCAAAGGAAATGAGCCAGGATATGTTATTGAGCTTTAAGGTACACACGACATGCGACAATGGTTCGCAGCCATTTCCAGACTTCACTCATCTCTTAGGATCACTTCCCGCTTTTACAGATGCTGGGTTTAGATCCTCTGTCAACTTCCCTATCATTGAAACAGAAGATGGGTATGCTAGGTTTACAGTTAACAGACCAGGAGGAGAGCCAATACGATTCAAATTTAGATACGCAAATGGAACTGAACTTGATGAGTACATATTTGGAGATACCTATCCAGAAAAAGTCGTCTTTAATATTAGATGTCCGAAGAAGGGGGAATATTCGTTGATACTTTTTGCCAGATTTAACGATGATCTTGTTGATAAAACTAAATTTAAGCCAGGTGCAACATATCTGATACTGAACAAGAATGAGCGAGGAACACCCATACTACCATACCCCTCTAAAGTACAATGGGGACCAACTGACAACTTGTCAAATTTCAACATATCGTTACAGCCCCAAAAAGGCGCTGAAATAACATGCAATAAAGAAGAGGCCACTTTCGAACTAGGTCTAAGTTCTAATGAACAGATCAATATTTCTTACAAATTTAATACCAAGGAAGATAAAGCAATAACAAGTAGGTGGGTTTGTGCCGAAAACAACTGGCGTGAAAAAGATGTGATTTTGCGATTTCGATTTCGTGCACCCGTTTCTGGATTTTACGAATTTAATATATTTGCGGGAAAAGTTGGTGCAAAATCTAATGATTGTATAGGAAGTTGGTTAATTAACGTTGTTAATCCGTATGAGGGAGACTTGTTCATTGGCAGTACAAATGTACCATGGGGACCTAACGTTACCAAAATGAAGGCAAATGATTTACAAGTTCTATCACCAACATCTTCTACAATTTACTCAAGTGAAGAAGAGTCCACGTTGATTATCGCATCGAAGATAAAAAGGCGTACAGGAATTATTTTCAATCTGAAAAATGATTCAGGTAATGATATGTACGAGTACGTTTTAGCAGATTCTGTTAAACAAAATGACGAAACGGTTTTATACAAAATTCGATTTCATCCACCAGAGTCGGGATTTTACAGTTTTGATCTATTTTGTGTAAGTGGCGGTCATCTAGGTAGTTGGATGATAGATGTTCGGAAATCGAAAAAACTGGAACTTCCATCGAATGATAAAAGACCCTGGGGTCCTGTACAAAACTTCTATGACTATGGATTCTTAGTAGTAGAGCCAGAGTCAGCCATTCTTACCACTACTTTGTCAACTGAGTCAAAATTAACTATTGCTACAGATCAAGGGAAAATACTTGGAAAGTTACATTTCCAGGATCAAGAGGATAATTTAAAGGATTGCTTTGATATTGAATACTTCACAAACGATGAGAAATTGAAGAAAATTGTTATAACGTTCAAGTTACCCCAGAAAGGCTATTATAAATTTAGTTTATATGTATCAAGTTCAGGGCAGGGCATGTTTGATTACGGTGGAGGTTGGCTGTTACATTGTGTATGAGAAAATCCCCGATCACGCCCATCGCCAATGACATACCAAGTAAAACAGTAGTGTGTGTGTGCGCGTGCATGAGTGCCAACGAAAATTGCTTGTAGGCCGCAATTGTATTTACTTATTTTTTATTGGCTCCATTTTACCACCATAATGTTGTCTGTGTATATATATTCTATACTGACCAACCGCTCAAAGTTATCAGTAAATTAACTATTTTGAGTGTTTCATTCACAGTATAGGGACCTCCCTTAGTAGGACCACATGTCTATAATATCCAATATTATTATTAGTTTTTGAAAAACTCATTAAATTATCTTCTTGTTTCGTTCATTTTTCATGTGAAGGATGAAATAAGTTCTGGTTGTATCTGACATGTATACATAAGAAATTTAATCTGAAATTGAACTTCATTCTTCAGATTATTGATTTTAAATTTGTATTTGTCAGGACCAATTGCCAAACATATTTATGCTTTACTCATATTACGTACATTTGGCATAACTTACTTATCAATTATAAAGGCATTACAATTTATAATTTAAATTTAATATTTTTATATGCTTAATTACTAAAGACTAGACTTTTTGATGCTCATAACTTTGATGCAATTTGAAAATATTCTTATACAAGATGTTTAATAGTACTGTACTATATATATTATATCCATGTTCCCTTGATTTGAAGGTACTCTCCTTAAAAGTAATTCACTTTAGTTTTAGGTTATCCCAGACCGCTCTTGCCTAATTTTACGATGGCAAAATAAAGTATTAGAACATAATTTCCTGAAATTAAACTTCCGTTTACAAACAATAAATACACATTGAGCCTTGTCTCATCAGAATAATGATTATTTTATTTAAAAGTGATTTTATATATATGTTTTAAAATGACAAACATTATCCTGTACAGAAAAAACAAATTGTAAAATTATCTGTTCAGAACGTTAGTAATTCCCATCTAAACAAATGGTGTATACTGTCCTACATATTTACTAATTATCATTATCATGTTACTCCAATTTTGATACATTGATTATACTACATAACGGTGCTTTTAAAAAAGTGGAGGGGATGGTCTCCTGGTGGACTGAACAAATCAAATAATAATAATGATGATGATGATGATGATGATAATGATAATAATAATGATGGTCGACTGAAGGTGGACACACAACAACACATTTTTTATTAATGATCTGTACCATGGAGGTATAAAAACATGGTCGTACGATGCCATCTTATTAATAATGCCATCTTATTAGGCGCATGTATCCATCTCTCTGTAGAGCTGCTTGCGGCGCCGTTTTCTACCTGCAGAGTGTACATGTAGCCTTTTTTCTGCATTATTATTTTGAATTAATTAATTTTATTTAAATTATTTATTTATTTTTATGTATATTTATTTATGACAGACCTGACATGGATGGGAAAGATGGGCAAAATAAGATGGAAATACTCTTCGGGGTCACCATCCATCACCACCCTGGCACATTCCCGCAGTGCGTGCCCAGCTTCATAGAGCACACATTATGGAAAACTCTATTCGCTTAAATGTAACTGTTATATCTGTGTAATGTGTTTACTTGCCCATATGAAAGGATGAATATATAAGTAGGAACGTATGTGTATAACATACTAGCCTGATAAAGGCCAATGGCCGAAAATATTGGTAGATATAGGCTTACGATAAAATGAGCCAATTTGAATACTGTGAGTTCCTGAGTTGTATTTGCTGTATCTACACTTTGCAACTGGTCTTAAAAAAGAGAACTATAGAGGGTTATATACTCCATCACCAAACACTGATGCATCATTCCAGTCTTATATCCAAGTTAAGGTAAAGCTTTTAAATTCATTATTGAGTTGTTTCAATTATCCTAAAAGTATAATATCTGTGACAGATATTACAGTATGAAAACGTAATATATTATATATTTATAAACTGATTCATTTGGCACCAGAAGTATTAAAACGTTCATTTATAATCATAATAATTGGTAGTAACAATGTCAGTTAAATTTCAATAACTTCTTAACACAGAATTTTACCTTTTTAAACTTAAAATATAACAAAAGGAAACAAAACAAATTGATATTCTAAACCATGAAACCTTAACTACTTGTTTCCAAATATATATTCTTTAAATTCAAATTCTTTATTGTAATACTGATAATGCATTGGGAAGGAAGAAATCCTGATCACACTTCTGAGCCTTACAAAAAAACATAATAAAAGATGAAAAAAGACATTGACAAGATTATTTAAAGGAAAGATTAGATTTTGTGTTCTTTTTTCTTTCTCCAGGCTCAATTAATTGTCTCTATGACAATCCAACTGGACAGAATTTCCACATAAAACTGTTAAACAGCCTTTACTCAATGATTATTGTACAAAAATCATTAAAATACTGTGGAATTGTAAACATACTATAACTTGATAAGTTTATCAGGGTGGTTCTGTTGGTCCAAAAGCATTGCGTAAGTGTATACTCGTGCATCCAAAATACAACCATCTGAGGCATATTCTAAAACAACAAATTGAAAGAATATCCTCAATATCCAAATGTTTTGTATAAACCGTAAAAACATTCTATGTTTTTCTGCAGTAACATCACCAACATTCAGATATTGTTATTACAGTAAAACATACTATGCAGCATGTTTTAGTTATATATCCTGTTTATGTTTATTAAATCAAAAAGACAAGTTTGTGTGATTAGCTTATATGAGGGCATGATGTTAACCATATCACATCCATATAAGGGCATGATGTTAATCATATCACACATCCATATAAGGGCATGATGTTAATCATATCACACATCCATATACAGTAAAGGCAAAGCACAGATATTTATCACACAAAACTTGATAGTATATACTGAGCCTCTAGCTTTGGGTATTCAGAGAGGCTTTTCACTCTGCCAGCCAACCATGACAGGGGTGTAGGCTGGTTTTCAGCTGGAAAGGGGGGGGGGGAAGGGGTGAAAAATGAGAATGCCGAACTAAATCCAAATCCTTATTCCAGTGTTCTCCTGAAGCCATTTTAGCCATCAATTTTACTGGTAAAAACAACCAGCCAACCGGTAAAAATTTTGTGTTTGTAAAATAAAAAACCAATGATTAGTCCAATGTAGTCTAGTTGGACTTCTTTCAATGTATGAACTTCATTCCAGTGTCTAGGCTATGGAGACTATGACTGTATGCGTTTTTTTAACTAATTAAACCCCACACAAAAGCAGTAATACCTAACACTGTGCGCACAGCTGAATATTTTATGGACAAATTTACTAGTAAAAATTCAATTGGGAGAACACCACTATTCCAATGAAAACTTAAAGGTCATTTTAAGTATTTTAACCTGCTAAGTGGAAATAATTTGCTGCCATAAGGGGTGCACCCTCCGACTACGCCCATGCATGTGTGAGGAAGGTCTCAGACTGTCTTGCTCATTTATATAAAGTCTTACTTCATATAAATTTTTATGATAGTTAAATAAAACCATAAAAAATAATTGCAATTTCCATTTGGTAATTTTCTGAAAGGAAAAAAAACATAGTACTTACTATCCAATCTGCAACACATTTCATGGACTGGTAACACTAAGACTTCAATGAACTCTCCATCATCTAAATAATGAAAAAAATAAAATAAACAAAAGATACAGAAACAGTCCAACATGTTGACTGATATTTAAATTTAATATATTTTTATATATATACAGCACTGTATATTTAAATTTTTTTTATGGTCAATGGCTTGCCATCACACTCCCCATGCATTCTGGCTTGTAACATGGTTACCACCGGTTTAAAATTTACAGTTCATGCAAGTAAAGCCTGAAAATTACCTCATACTAGTTTTTTGAAAATACTCTACATATTTTGAAAATAGACTATTCAGACATCACAAATATTTTTCGGCTTTAATAATAAAGGTAGATTTACACATTTTCAAAGTCCATTTCAAAGGTTTCACAACAACATACCTGGTTTACTGACTGGTTTCCTATTTATCGGATCATCACCATCAATCTAAAAATAAGATAACAATTATTCACAAACAAATTCGATGAAAATTGCACAAGCATTATTATGAACACAAAGGCTCATTTTAAAATTGAGATAAATTAGGGTGGGGTGGTGATGGGTTGGGGGATGGTTGCCAACTGTAATTGTGAAATCTACCTTTGAGCTTCTCATTCTTATTTAAGCATATTCTTAACTTATATTTTTAACTTATTTTTTCAATATGAGAGAAAAGAAAAGAAAATACTGTAAACAAAACTATATACTTACTCTCATGTTAACAATATGAATTGTTGCTGCTGAAAGTCCTGGGTCTAGTGATACAACTAAAAAAAGAAAGCAATAGAAAAACAATATTTATAATTTACAAAAAAACCTAAAAAAACATGTTTACACTTTGTTGTTTGTGATTGCTGTTTGTTCTCTACCTGTTGTTTGACACTGCACCTTGAGCACCAATTTTGGTGGTGATGTTTGTGCTTTATAAATCGTTATTATTATTATTATAAATATAATACGAAAATGCTAGTTTAACTGAATTTAGACATTCCTAAACATGATAAAAAAAATGTAAAAAAGACACAAAAAATAAATGCGGATGAACTGTTTTATGTTCCATTCTGCGATAGGTCTGCGAAGAATTATAGTAGGCGCCGGAAACATTAGCCTATTCAACATTGCTAGACTAGGCTTAGTCTTACCATGATTTAGGTTGTTTTTAGACATACATTCGTTGCAAGTATTGACACTATTATAAATATAATATTTCATTGGAATTATTTAAAATTTAAAAAAAAAAATGATTCTGACTAAGATTTTGACAATTAAACAAACATATTTGATCAAATGCAGTGTGCGAGATGCGAAGTACAAAAACTACCCTCATCAGAGAGGGCGCACTTTATTGACTGTATAAAGTATACACAAAAGTGAGAGCATTCCAGCGGATGCGATCTACAACCTCTGAATTTGCCTAGTAACAAAGTAGTCGTTGAGAAAATGGTAATTTCCCATCAGAAAGTCTCTATTGCTCATTTTTTTATCACTTTGCATAAAACTAAAATTTATGCAAATATTTTTACAAGGTTTATAATAATTAGAGTAATACATATGCATTTTTTCTAAAAAAAAATCTTTTTTTAGTGAAATTTTGCCGGGAATGGGGCATTAATATATTCTCATGATCTTGATTTGTTCATGACAGATTCGCACACCATTAATCTAGTCCTAGCATTATCAAGTTTCTAGAAATACCAGGTGCTGTAACCTCAAGTGAGCTGTTAAAAGGTTGGGCAGGGTTACCACTATATGCAGATTGACATATCAAGTTTCTGGCAACACCATTAACGTGCTGTGCCTTCAAGTGAGCAGTTGAAAAGTAGGGCAGGGTTGTCGCTATATGCAGCTTTACATAAGTTATCATTGAAACACGTTTGACTAACACTTCTTGCTCAGAGGGCCAATGTGTGTACAGTGGTGTATCTACAATTCTTGAAATGGGGGTGCTGATTTGGGGGGGGGAAGAATTTGAAGTGGAGGGGTCGATGATCAGTTGAGGGGCGCTAATTTGCAAAATAAGGTGTTTTTCGGTTACTTTAAACGCGAGTAATTTTTGAAGGGGCGTGAGCAACTAGCTATGTGCACTTTAAAGAATGTAACACAAGGGTTGGTCCTACTACTTAGGCTATGGAATACTCAATATAAAAAAAACAACATGATGAAGGTGGTGGCTCTTAGATATATTTTCTGTTGGGGGGGGGGGGCGCTAAGCTGTCCGAAAGTGGACTTGAGATCGTATGCCCGAGCTGGGGGAAGGGGTTGAGAAAGGGTTCCCAATCTCAAATGAGATTTGGCTGGAAATGTGACAGACATGTGTTGGCTCGGTGTGGGCCTATTTATATATTTTTTATGGTCTGACTGCCCGACGAGCTCTGCCACTGCAGCTAAGGTTCTGTTTGTCTTACCATCACCGATGTCTTTCTGTTGAGGCTTGGTTGTTCTCTCTACCACTTCCCATACCCTCTCCTGTCCATCAGGGTCTCTGTATGTGTATTTTTCCAATGACAGCCACTTTTCCTTGTGTAATGTCTGTTAAAATATGAGTCATAAAGGAATAACTAATAATGAAATTTGTACACCTTTTCAGAATATACTGCTTAAGTGTTGGATACAAGAGAGTAGACGACGAGAGTTGCTGGTACCGGGTTACCAGGTAGCACAGACATGAAGGGACACTTAGGGGCGAAGAAAGTCATTGATCGAGTTCCTAGTCCACATATCAAGCACCCTGAGCATCTTACATTAGATGGATATGTGCGCTATATAAAACTACATATTATTATTATTATTATTAAAAGCAGTCATTCATGTTCAAAATGGGTGATTCTTCAACCTCCCCCAATTCCTGGGGAGTGTTCCAATGCTACTACTTAAATTGAATTGGTAGGGAAAATGTAGCACTATGAATTTTATTCTGAATTATCACCTCCTACCTATTTATACTCCCCTGGTGAAGAGAGGCCAACTTAGGTGTGTCTTGCCCAACCAAGGCAAGGTTATACAGTAATAAGCAAATTCACTGGCGCAAGTCAAATACTAATTAATTTTTAAACGAAAGTCCGATTTTTGTTATAAAAATTAGCGACATGATGAGTTGTTGGTTTGCTAATGGTTGGTTCAAGTTGATGATTGTTCGAGCTTGGTGACGATTTTGCAGTACTACAATTTTTGTTCATAGTACTGCTAGGCCTAGGTAGCCTTAGACATTAGCTAGATGTTCCTTAATCTACCCGACTTGGCAAGGCATGTACTCATGTACTGTGGCTAGCGTAACTACTTATTGTACTTACTTACACAGAGCTCTAAATGCTGCATTTCCGCTCATATATCTCTGGATAATTTTACAGTTTGAGAGTGTTTACATAAACTTACCTCTTGTTTAATGAATTCTGATGTAGGCTTACTCATTTTGACAACGATATTTTATAAAAAAAAAATTGTAAGAACGCCTTGGCTGGGTCTAGGCTACAACATTGATCTTCGGACTTCTCGAGCATGCTAATTGTATTATTGTAAACATTTCTAAAATCGTGGCAAACAACACACGCCCTCTTACGACCAACGAGCCATCAAAATTTGCGTCAACTTCTGGTAATTCGCGTCAACATCCGGTAAATTTAACTTACAACTTGTTTACCGATAATATTGTTAAAATTAATTATGAAATTATTAAATTTTATTAATATTGTATTATACAAAAGTAAAGATACTTTTCGAGACAGCTTGGGGAATATGATGACAAAAAATATTAATAAAAATAATAACGATGAACATTTTATTCCCCTTTTTTACAGCGGATTTTTAATGTTCATAAGTTTTAACTACGGTACGTTGTTCACATTTTACCCACTTGTCTATTAGGCCCTTTGCCAATGGTTTTCTCGTAGTCATTTGTCTATTATGTCGAATTTGTAATAAATAAATACCATTAAATTCAATGGTTTCGTCATTTCGTTAGCCTATAAACCAAAACAGAAACAACGTATATGCCTAGGTCGGTAGTTGATTGTTATCCGATCCGCCTTTGTTCAAATTTAGTTGTCCATCAACATTTCACCTGCTTCACCATCACCAGTTCGTTATATTACATAGATAACATTAGACCTATTGTGGTTTGATACAGAGGCCGTGGTACCAGGATTTGCCCGACGGAATTCCGAAGCCCCCGAGAGAGCAAATTGGGTGTGATCGTTTAAATATTGCGAAAGTGGTCCAGGGGGCGAAGCGCCTGAAAATGTTGACATATTAGGGGCTTCAAAGGCTGATTTAATCGATTTTAGTGTCCACTAATATGTAGAAAATACATTTTTTTTCTTTCCGACGAATTGTGGTTTTTCTCCCGAGGGTGGGGTGGTGGGGGAGCTCTCCCCGACGGAGGCCCTGGCCACTGACCCCGCTGGCGCCCCCCTGGTTTGATATCTGTATTAAGTATGTGTGTGTCAGTGTAAAATAAGCCTAATATATGATACCGTACTTGTACAAGATACAAGATAGTCCTTTACAAGATGCGTAAAATGCAGCTTAAGAGTAAGTGCCTCAGCGGTTAAATCTGCGAATATACCGATAGGTCTTTGTGGTCTGGTAGTATGACACTCGTTTTGACAACGAGAGGATACAGGTTCGAATCTCACTGATATTCTCTTTCTAACAGAAAAGGAACTTTTCGTTGAAGGGCTATGCTTGATACGATATGACATCATACGATTAGGAACATCTCATAGAGCACTGTTATTATCATTATTATAATATAAATAATAACTTTGTTTCAAAAACAATCATGCCTTGAACCAGAATTAAGCAAGTACTACTGCACACAAACCCTACTGTAGAACCTATCATAGTAATGGAGGTAAATTACCTCAATGATCACTGTACTATACAGTCACTACGAACAACGTTTTTGCTAGAAAAATGAACGGTAAAAACGCTACACGCATGCGTTACTTTCTTTCATCGCTCAATGAACTCAACTTAATTATGATAATCGGTAGCTAGATGTATCCATTAGGCTATATGGATAATGCAGACGGTGAAGCGAGCACCACACCATTGCCTATATCAAGAATGCTCTCCGTTTCCACGAAAGCCCTATATATTTGATGCTATAAGGGAAGGCCTATTACCATTCTGCTTTTTTTTGCTGCGTCGCTTTTAGAGGAAGATTTTTTTTTATGTCGAGTAAGAAGGTCTGTGTGTAAAGAATTGCCAAGATAGATTCTGCTGTATTAAGGAAAGATAATATTTTACGTTTTCAAATACTCGGTGAAAACAAAGGTGTCAAAGGAAGTATAATTTCAAGGACTACCGAAAAATATTTGGAAAGGAGACTTGTAATAATTATGAATAATTCTGCATAGAATTGGTTCAAGAAGATGTCTTGGGTGAACGATTCGCCGTATACAACAACAGTATACACATCTGCATTCAGCTCAAGAAAATCGTTCATTGACGCGCCTGTCGAATTTTCAATCGATTACAGGTTATGAATTATATGAGCAGAATCGTGAGAGTATGCATTTCATCTACGAACCGTTAGTAGGCCTACACTCTGGAAATGAAACCGGTTAAATAAAAGCGTGAACTTGGAGAGACAAACTATGGTTCAAAGTAGTATTCTTGCGTTAAGGAAATTATAGTCGTCCGTATTATTTGGTTTTTCTTTAGACGCTTGCGTCCGAAATACAGATAATGGGAAATACAGAGAGTCAAGATGAAGGTGAGTTATACCAGGTGAGGGACTCGCATATTCGGAGAGATAGCCTCCCACAGTTGGATAACCTTCCCGTGGAACCACCCCAGCTAAAGGCAGATTTAAGTCATCTCACGGCTGAGGAAAAGAAGCATATACAGGAAGTCTTGGATCGAGCTAGAGATTTGGAGGCAACAGAAGAAGACAGAATAAGGTTAGACTAAAAATGTCATTTTTACATTTTTACCAATTTTACATAGCCACCAAAAAAAAAAAAAAAAAAAAAAAAAAAAAAAATGTCATACTAGTTCAATGTCAACTTCGCTTCGTAAAGGTGACATCGATTAAAATTGTTTCCGGGAAAATACAAAAGTAACTTATTCGGTTTGACTAAAGCAATGTACGTATCGGCAGGCGTTTG